TTGCTTGGATACTCCACTTTGTAACGGACATACGACTGGAATGGATATTCTTTGGACTGGAACTCCGATGATCACTATGCCGTGTATGTTTTCATTTCACTGGGATAACTTATCGTAGGATAATTTTAGAGCCTTTCTCGCAAGGTTTATACGTAACTCTTTTCGTACTTATTTTAAAACATTTCAGTTATCTTTTTTCGTACTTATTTTAAAACAAGTGGATTCAAAATAATGATGAGTTAATACTCATCATTATTTTGAATCCACTTGTTCGTTTTTTTTGAACGTGTTTTCAACGGTTTGGACTGGAGTGATCGTTTACTTCAAAAATTACGATTCGGCCGACCAAAGGCCGCTGATTTTTTTTTCCAGTTTAACCGGTTCTAGCCACTTCACTTGGACCGTTTACTTATGAGTTGGCCTTCTAATGGCGGCTACTTATCATTCAACCCATTTTAGCACTTTTTGGCGAATTTGCTCTTTTTTGATTCACTTTTTAAACTCACTCACTCACATTTGTCTGGTACTTTTACTTGAAGGGCTCCTCAGATTAGGAGGGTATTAAAAAAAGCATTAGGTTTTGTTGTGTTACTGTTAAATTCATTATATTGTGCTGGAATCAGTTGAAATTCAAAGGATAACTGCTAATAGTAGGAAGTTATTGGGCGGAAAATATCCTAATTACTGTTAGGCGTCGTTGAAAAAAATGTACGTTTATAGTGGAAACACTGGCGTCACGTATTGCGTCAAGTCAGCTGTACGCGCTTGGTGTACCGGAATTGGTTGCCAAAGATCGTGAGGATTATGTTCGAATTGCTGTGAAATTGGGCACTGATCGTGAATAGTAAGTTGTCGTATATCCATAGAATTTCAATTTCATGCACATCTTAAAAAAAAAAAAGAGAAAAGACTTAGATTTTACGGCAAGTTTTGCTTATTTTTTGTAAAGATGCTAGATTTTTTTAAAAAGTTTACCGAATTCATTTATGCTGCGATTAGCTTGCTTCTAAGCAGCTCGCGATAGAAACCCCATTGACAGCCTTATTAGCAACTGCTTGCTTTTGTCAGCACTCGGGATACTTCCGATTGCCAGCGCTTCTCAGGAAAATCACTGTGAAGGGAGTAGTTTCTGTTGTTTTTTCACTGTTTTATGGTCGGTGAATGTTCCTCCTTGTCCGAGCGCGTTACTTCTTCCCAACGTTTTTTTCTTGACTCATTCAGCAGCCTTTGACAAATTTTTAAGTGTCGATTAAACCCTCATTCGCTCGCTTTTTTAATTTAGTTTGAGTCAAATTCGAGCAAAAGTATGGAAAGCTCGGACAACATCAACACTG